AGCTGATATTATAGATGAATTTAAACTATGGAATTCAATTAAAATGATTGTGACAGATACTACAAATGTCAATACCGGAAAGAAAAATGGTGTTGTTGTAAAACTTCAGGACATTTTTCAAAAAAAAGGATTACAAAAACCTCAATTTGTACCATGTCAACATCATATCTTGGATAGAATACTTAAACTAGAAATGGAAGAAAAATTGGGAGAAGATCCGAACTCACCAAACATTAATTCCTTTTTTCTAACGAGTTGTTAGAACATTATGAAACACTGAAGACAAATTTTTATAATGGTACAGAAGAAATAAAAGACACAGGAGGATGGCGAGATGACATGAAGTTTCTGTTTCATCTGACGAGAACCTACCGATACTATGACCAAAATAAAATATTTCCTAATGTAAGATTTCAAAAAATCCCTAATATCAGTAATGCTCGGTGGAGTTCAAGAGCTATTTTAGCGTTGTTAGCCTACATTCTTATGCCAAAAACAAGAAACAAACTTGAATCTGTATGTACCTTTATTTCTTACAAGTGGGCAGACTTTTGGTTTAACGACCAAACCTATAAAGAAAACACTTATTCAGACCTTCATAAAGTTTTATTAAACAAAAAGAAACCTCTTACTACATTTACAAGTCATTGGAATCCAGAACCATCAGCATTCAACATTCCCAGAAGTAATCAATGTGCTGAAAGAGCAATTAAAGTAATGGAGGAGCTTTATAGATTGTGCAGAAATAAAGACAATCTTCCACTTCGTTTCATTTTGTCTAATAAACAATAACTGTATGTATTTAAATTGTATAAAATGTTTTTTCCTGCATTGAATATAACACTATGCCATGTATTAATTGTTAGAATAAATTATGTTTTTTTATAGAATCATATGAATGAACATGTTTGCAAATAGAAATGATTTTGGTCATTAATTTTTTTAAAACCTTTTTAAATCTTAATGTGCTTTGGGGCGTGACATTTTTTTTGAACATCGTTAAAGTATTAACATTTTTGCATTTTATGCGTAAAAACTCATCCATTTTTGGGCCAGGGAAATTTTTTTAAAAAAAGTCATATCCCTAATATAATATATATATATATATATATATATATATATATATATATATATATATATATATATATATATATATATATATATATATATATATATATATATATAAAACAATCCATTGCTATAAATATTGTTATAAATATATATATATATATATATATATATATATATATATATATATATATATATATATATATATATATATATATATATATATATATATATATATATATATATATAACAATATTTATAGCAATGGATTGTTTTTTTGCTTTTTACGCAAAACCTCCGTGTGGTGCGCAAAAAATTTCGAGTTTTACGGTAAAAACTTCGTTTTTTTGTTTATAGCATTGGCCCCTGGTCTAAATTACTTTTAATAATTTAATAAATAAATTTAATTAATCAAATGATCTGAAATATTTATGACAACATCGAAAATCCGTGGTTTGACGCCAGCTCTAGCCCAATAAGCGACCATGGTACGGAAGGAGGCGTGAACTTCCTGTTAAATGTTTTCCCGCGGTGCTCTATGAGAAGACCGTAAGGACTTTTGAGAGCACCTAAATACATACAAAAAAAAAAAAAAAAAATTTTTTTCAGCGTTTTTGTAAAAAAATTACATTCCAAAAAAAAAAAAAATTTCAGTTACAACTATTAGGATTTTTATTCTCAAAAAAGTTCGTTTACCTATTTGTAAGTTATTTTACCTATTTGTATTTTGTCAGTTTGTAGTTTGCAAAAAAAATCGTATTTCATTTCTTAGTAGTTTTATTTCTTAATACTTATTATCATTTTCGTAAATGATATAACCTTTATCATTAGCCAACCGTGTAAAATGTATGCTGATGACACAAGACTGCTGGCCCGTTTAGACCACCCATTAGCTTCACAAAAACCTCAAATTGATATCTACAACATAGCCAAATGGTGTAAAATCTGGGAAGTGAAACTCTATATCGATTAATGTAAAGTCATGCACATAGGTCAATTAAATAATTTTTATGTCTATTCAATGCCAATCTAATAACAATAATAGTGTCCTGCTAGCATCAACTTTAGTCAAACGTGATTTGGGCATCATTACACCAGACTAGAAACGGCATAACAGTTCAGCTTTTGCAACCAATAAAGCCAACCGTTATACTGAGGTCTCTGTCTTCGGCCTCAACAATGTAATAATTATGAAAAATCGAAAATAGCTAAAACTTTCTAAAGTAGTAACAATTATTCAAATTTAAAATTTAGGACCAGAAATTATTAATAAGCCTAGTTAATATCCTTTTGATTTTAGTTGACCAATAATCGTTTTTAAATATTCTTAACTTCAGAGTCTACTTTTCTATTAGAAAAGTTCGATTTAAAAATTAATTTATGTTTTGATGTCTAGTAAGTTAAAAACTTGGTATTTTTATAAATGGCAATAAATTTTTTATACTTCTAAATAAAATCCATTCTTAAAATGCGTCTTATGTAAAAGTTTTTTTAAATACTTGATAAAGATAATTAAAATTTGTTTATTAAATTAAGTATTTTTCAAAAAAAAAAAAAAAAAAAAAAAAAAAAAAAAAAAAAAAAACTCAATGAATTAGAAATTCTTTTGAAAACTTAAAACTAAATCAGAATTGCTTAATCTTCAAAATAAATAAGTGTTTAAAAGTTTAAAAAGTGTTTAAAAGTTATAGCAGGTTTACAACTCTCAAAAGGTGAGAGTTGGTAATTTGACTTTTTACGTCAAAAAGATTTTGGATAAAATTTTAGTTGTCATAACAAATTTAAAGTCTAAATTTTTTTTTCCAAAATATTATTTCTCTTAAAAATGAAATCTCCCGAATTTTACAGCTTTTTTATTCTTTGAAGCCCTAATTACCGTGATTTATCTAGGTATTAGGAGCTGGCTTTAAGCATTAGCAACCTAGGCAATCGCCTTGGGTCTCCCACCCATGTAGGCCTCTCAGTTGCACAAGAGTTTTTAGAGGTATTAATGGTTTTTAAAGTTTGTTTTCAAAAAGAAAATTATTTTTATCACATTTCATAGTTATATAAATTCTTTCAATAGGGACGGTACGTTTTTAAACGTTAATTGTAGGTTTTTATAGGCTTTTGCTTAAAAAACCGTATAAAAGACGTATAAAAAACACACCATGCCCACTATTAGAGATTTATTTAGAACCATGCTTTTTTTAGGGTATGTAAGCAGTGACGGATTTATAATTTTTTTTTTTAAGTCAATACCAAAACTTAAAAAAAAATAAAGCTCCTTAAATTTACAAACCTCTTTGAATTTAGAATTTTTTTTTTTTAATTCTGGTGGTGGTGGTGGGGGACGGATCCAGACATCTAACTTCCAGACATTTATATTTTTATACTTATATCAAATAAAGATGCTTTGCAAAAAATTGCGGTTATTGGAGCCTGAGCCAAAAAGCCCCAAAATTTTTGCTCCCTGCCCCAAACGTGAGAGTGACATGTTGATATAATAGTTGTTGTAATATTTTCAACTTACATTGATCGAAAAATTTTAAACTTCATAGTATAACTTCTTAGCGTTCAAAAATTATAACCATATAAAATTTGCAACCCCCTCAAATTGAGGGAGTTTAAACTTTATATGGTCATATTTTTTGAGCGTTTTATATGGTCATATTTTTTGCTGCTCCCCTCCTCTCAGTTGCTACGGGTCTGTGTATAAAAAAAATAGCGTTACAATTTAGGCATTTTTTTTTATACATAAAAAAAATACTTAAATTGTAACGCTATTTTAACGCTCTGATTCGGTTGAAGTTTGACCTTCTATAAAAATGCAAAATAAATTTCATTTTATGAGGAAAAAAAGTACAAAATTTATATCAATGTTAAAAGTTTTTTTTTTTTTTTTTTATTAAAAGAATTAGAAGTTAATATCAAGTATTGAGTATAAACATTTATATCTACCATACGCTACGTCAATTTTTATTTCTTTATATATATATATATATATATATATATATATATATATATATATATATATATATATATATATATATATATATATATATATATATATATATATATATATATATATATATATATATAAAGCAGTAGCATAAAAAAAAAGCAGAAACTTAAATGACTGAAACGTTCTTTAGTAATTTTGCTATTTCTCAATTGAATTAAAAGAAAATTCCAATATTAATCTCATTTTTTCCGTTATTTTAATGTTTCCAATTTGGTTAACAAACAAATCATCATTATCTTGTCTATATTTATATAACTCATTCGATTAATCTTCTTTCAAGCTTATATTATATATTTGTTGTAAATCGTTTTACAAGATGTTTTGTAGCGCTGTTTACATTCGAAATAGGAACGCCAAATTTATAACCTTTTTGAAGTCTTGCGATAAATTTATCAAGTGGTTTTTACAGGTTAAGTAAGAAACAGGTGTGATATACATCTGTCGCAATCGATATTTTTTTTTCCAACTTATCTTTTTAAACGATTGTCTTTAAAACGATTTTAAACGATTTCTGGTATTAAAAAAAAAAATTTTTATAAGTATTTGTAACTCTTTGTTGATGATATTACCCAAAGGCGATACTTATTTAAAAAATGAACGAAATAAATTGTAAATTTTTCATCGCTTATAAAATGTAAATACTTTGTCGCGATCAAAATCTTAATTATAATGTTTATTATTATTAACTGTTTTACTTTTGCATTCCCGCGGAAACAACTCTTTCAGAAGTTATTAATTTACCACACTTTATTTGCACATTTCGTTCTTTTCTTAATGAGTATTTGCAACAATAGAACATAAAGAGGGGGTTTTATTTAAAACATAATATTGTGCGCAAGTTATTTTCTTAATAGAAACAACCCCCTGTTCAATTTAAAACTTACAAAAGCATGCGACTTGTTTTACTAGCAATTGATTTGTAAAGGTTTTCGAAAAGAGTAATTCTTTGCAAATATTATTTGAAAAGTTAATAGAGCGCGTAAATATTAAAACTTAAAAAAAAAATTTTTTGCGCAAAATAAATATGACTATGACTGATGTTTATATGCAGAATTTTGTACTTAAGAATATATTTGAGACGGATGATGAACTGGATTTGTGGTCATCAAGTGACAGCAGCAATTCAAGTGAGTGTAGTCCAACATTTTTTTCTCGCTCTGCTAAAGAAATAAATGATTTTAAACTGTACAAAGACTATTTGGGACTTTCTAATTTGTTAACCAACGTTAAAATATCTGATGATAATCCATTGGTTAATGGTGTTCACCGTCTATCCTTTCTTCCGAGAAATCAAATTTACAACAAGCTGAGTAATGATCCTGAAGGAAGCGACGTAGATGTTTATTCGCCAACACGAGACTTAGCATTGCGTTCGAGAGACAATAATAATAACTTTCCTGATGTAAAACAGCTACCGCCAAGCACTCGTTTAAGCAAATCTGATCGTGATATGATTATTAGCGGAGCATTTCAGCAACAGCTTTCTTTTATAAACAAGCACTCTGACCGATCTCAAATTAAAATGAACCCGCCGCTCCAAGCTCCACCTTCACCTGCTTTAGTGCAGCCTCAACAAACGCTTTATAACTCTCTCGATAGTCTTACCCTGCGTGCCTCATCCAACGTTTGTGTATTTTGTCGAAACAATGGTGAAAGCGAAAACGTGTATGCCAGCCATGTTTTAAAAGATACTGATGGCCGAACATCTTGTCCTATTCTTCGCGCATATACATGTCCTATTTGTAAAGCTAATGGTGATAATTCTCATACTATTAAATATTGTCCGATGAATCAAAATGCTCGATCAGCAAGCACGTTTAATGGACTTTCCTTGCCTCCTTCTGTAAATATGGCTCCTCGAAATACCTTTCCTCAACCTGTTCGTGGTAATTTTAGATCCCCATTTCCTGTGAACCTGACTCCTCGTATTAATCTTGGTGCCAAAATAAGGTAAAATTTCTAGCGAGTCATAGAAACTTGTTACCAAATATTTTACTTAATTAGATGGAGCTGAAAGTTTACTGTTTTTTTTTATTTCTAATGTAAAGTACTGCTTATTTTGAATTTAAACAAAAAAAAAAAATAATTTTATAAAGCACAGGAATAATAGTAATAAAACCTTGTTTTTATAATTTTTATAGTTTTTATCTAATTTTACGGTGTATTAATAAGTGTAAAATTATTTGCATTAGATGCAAGGTGATAACTCTTCATGCGAACATTTTAAACGAGTGTGGCGCAAATTTTATTTTATTTTAGTTTTTGTATAAAAGAAATACGCGCTTATTTCATATCTATTGTTTGTGATAATTTTACTTTTTTTTTTTTTACGTTTAAACTTAAAGAGTGGCGTCTTATTTTTCTTTGCAATTCTCGCTATGAAAAAAGAACTTGTGAATAAATAAGAGCGACTACTTGCTATATTTTTCGCGCTTTGTTATTGCCGTTTTATGTTTTGTTTTTTTAATTAAATTTTTACTAAACTCAACCATTAGAGTTGATCAATTTCTTTATTTGTTACATATATAAATATATATATAAAAAAAAAAATAAGGAATAAGTATTGAGATTTATTTATATTTAAGTATATATTATTGAGATATTTTTGTTCTTATGTTTTTTCGTGAGAGCATTTTTGCATTTTATAATAAATTTTGTTTCGCTAATTTCAATTATGCTGCGAATTTTTTTTCTTGTTTTGTTTTCTTTTGTTAGGTTTCTTAAATTCTATTAGTTAAAATTTTATGACATTTTTTACGAATTTCGAATTTTGCTAATTTTATTGTTAAGTCAAGCGGAATATCTTAAGATTTATGTTTTTAATTCTGGATTATAATGTAGCATTTTTTTGTTGTTGTAACTTTTAGATTGTTATTTCCAGATAATTCAATTTCAAAAAGTCAAATCGACCCCCGTTTTTTTTTTCTATGCGTGTTAAAGCTTTATTTAAAACAAGAAATTAATTCCTTATACCACCTGTTGCAGCGCGTGCAATCTAATTACAACTTTTTGCGTCTTTAATTGACAGTTATTAACGTAAAATAACGAGCATGCATATTGTGGTCAAAAAAATTTTTATTTAGAAGTTCCTCCCCAGAAGTCTAGACTACACATAGTATCTTTTCTTTATATAATTTCAAAAGATAAATTTAAATAAGGTGTTTCGTTAAATATATTCGTTCTGAAATTTCAATCAAAGGTTTACGCTTGTAGTTCTTAAAATTTTAATTTTTAGCATTGCGTTTAGTAAGGCCTGCACTTAGCATCAGCTCATTTGATTATCTTCCGGAACATGTGCGTGTGGTTTTAATGAATTTTTTTACGCGCGTGCGGTTTTTTTATTGCGTTTAGATTTAATTACTAAATTATCCTTGCGGATAATTAAATCGGTTTCTTATAAATGTATTTTTAGTAATTAATAATTTTAGTTGACTAAAATTTCTAAAAAATTTCCACAATTTTTCTATTAAATAAACTAATAGTTAAAATACTAAAATTCATGTCTTATTATTATCCAAGGTGATGTTACTACAAATTTAAGTTTTAATTTAAAACTTTATTTCAAGTTGATTTTTACAAGATGATTTTAGTTAACACTAAAACTTAATTAAATGAACGCATTTAAATTTATAAACTTTATATTTAACTACGATTACGATTGTTTCATCAAAGAAAAATTGTAACGAAAGTTTCCAATTGTTTCAATTTAAATATATATATTTATAATAATACAATCTTTGCTTAAGATATAAACCAGTATAAAATAAAACAAAATTTTGCAAACGCAAATACTACCATACCAATTCTTGATATCTTTTGGAACACCTCAAGACTTTTTGCGGACATAGTCTTGTTATTTAGTGTTCCAGAGCGAGGTGGCTTTATATAACATACAACATGTATTATTATATATATAGAACCTATTATTATATATATAGAGCTTTTTCTCCTTTTGGAGATAGAATGAGTTTTTTGCTACAACGGAGTTGATACGTAAGATTTTTTATAAATATTGGATTTAGACAATTAATAGATTCAAAAGTTTCCATCACAAAATATCTCAATTTTTTTGGATCTTAGACTGTTATCAAAATTTAATAATTCATCCAGAGAAAAATCAAATCTTTTATAGGCTTTTTTATGATTTCTATTTATTTGTTTGTCATCTTTTCTCGAACAAATCATACAAATTAGAGGACAATAAGAAAAGTTAGACAAAACAAAAGCATTAAACAGCAAAATAGATTTATCACGGGATAAAAAATTACTTATTCGAGATTGAGCAAAACATTTAATTTACTACAAAATATTAGCTTTACTGCATAACAGTTTTAATGCAATAATTAGGCATAATAAATTTGCCTATCAATTTAATGTTAAAGTTTTTTTGTAATTGTTTAAATGTTAATATTTAATAGTTTTTTTTTTAATATATAATAGTTTTTTTTTAATATATCATAGTTTTTTAGATTTCACAGTTAATTGTCTAAAAATAGTTATGAAACTGTTCTTTACAACAACGCGTTAAACTCAGGACGTATTTTTTTAATAAAACACCCGGCGCGAGTCTTGTAATAATTAAAAAGGGTCTATAAAAGTCAATAAATAAAAGCCTTTAAAAATAAAGCAACTTGTAATTCTTATATTAGTTTTAATTCTGAAACTGAATACTTTTTAAATGCCTAACTTTCGAACAATATTCTTTGAGCGTTCGAAAATTTATTATAAGTTCAAATGCAAATTCCATTTACTTATCTTAAGAAAACTTTGTAAAATGTTATTGATGGAATGTTCTAAATTCAAAAACATAACTGTAAACTGTTGATAGTAATTGAATACCGTCAGGCGGGGCTACTTGAGCTACCCGGGGTTACTTGAACCCCCAAAAAATAAAAAATGTTTATTTATTTGTTTATGTTTTATAAAATTATTTGGTATGAAAGTAAATAAGTTAATTATACACTTAGTCAAATTAAGTAACATAAAAAATAAAAAATGGTTAAATTTTTTTATGCAAAAAGTGATCAAAAAATATTTTATTTAAAGGAAACGACAATGATGGTAAAAATTTAGTGTAAAATTTTTGTCTGACTAGACATTTTTAATCAGCATTTCCTAAAAGAAGTATCAGTTTCTACAAAATGTAGCAATTATAATTGTCTTTTAATTTTATTATTTTGATAAAAAGATTATTTTTATGTTTGAAGTTTAAAATTGGGGCTACTTGAACCCAAATGTCATTGTAGCAGCTTATGTTTGAAAATGATTAAATTTATATTTTATTAACATTAAACTCCAAAGTGAAATAATATATTTAAAAGGAGTTGATATATTTATTATTTTAACCATGTTTTTAATATTTGTTAGGTTATAAAATGTATACCTAAATAATGTTAATGATTGGTTAAAGCTAATGTTATACACCTTTTTGCGTATACTTCATGCTATCATAACTGGTTCTACCAGAATGGTTCGCAGATTTAAAAGAAAATTAAGATCCTGAGCTTACAAAGACCATACCGATCAAAACTTAGAGCAAGTCTGTATTAATATTGAACGTGGAGCTAAGAGTCAACGATTTGCTGAAGAACAATTCAAATAAGCCGCTTCAGCATTAAGAGAGCGCTTCAAAGACGACGCCTTACTATCACAAAAAACATGCAGGGCATCCAGCTGTCTTCACATCTGAAGAAGAACAGTCATTTTGTGGTTACTTAAATAAAGCTTCAACTTTTGGCTACCCACGAACCTCATTATCTAAGAGCAAATATAAGTAACACATATAAACTGCCTCAAAACATTAATAAATATACTGAATATAGCATTGCATATCGAGGACCAAATATATGGAAGATTTATCAAAAAGGATTTAAATGTATGGCAAAGTCATTAAGTTCATTTAATTTTCTAATAAAAAAAGAAATTTTTAAAATTTGAGAATTTTTTGTGCTTAAAGGAATCACCAAGGAATTTTATTTTTTTATATTTTATCTTTATTTGATTTACTGATCAGGGCAGCAGTTTTATGCCCATTAGGGTTTTTAATTTAATACCTACATTCTATGGAAAGTGTATATAGGGGCTCTATGAAAAGATTGTGATGACGTATTGTCATCTTCATCTTCTTTGAGCCCCTGTCTGTTTAACTCTTTATTTTATAAAGATCATTGTAAAAAGAATAGTGTTTTATTTTATACTGTATATACAATAGCGGTGCTTGTTGACAAGATTTTACTGTCTTCTTTGTTCTACGGACATATTTTTTTCTTTCTTATATATATTTTTGTTTGATTATTTATTGTTAAACAGCAAACTAAATGTAAAAAAAAAAAAAAAAAAAAAAAAAATTTGATCTCCGAATTAATGTGAAATCCTATCTAGATTGATTAGGGAGTGATGTTCAATGTTTCAATGAAAATCTCTAAGGTGTCAACTTGGTAAAAGTTTTTATCAGAAGACATCATCAGCTATGGGTTCAAGTAGCCCCACAACAGGGGCTTAGATTAAGTTCAAGTAGCCCCACAACAGGGGCTACTTGATCTTAAGACAAAAGTTAATCTTTTATCCTAGCTTTTCCGCCATTCCACATCAAGAGGAAAGACTGAAAGTTAGGGCCAAAATTATGATTTTGTCCAAAAATAGAGCAGGGAAAACAAACGAAAGCTTTAGCAGCTCCACTCCAGATAAGCCAATCTCTATTAACCTTCTCTCCGTTTAGAGAAAATTCGTATAAAAATGTAGGCAGGAACTTTTTTGTTTGTAGAATCTCTGGGAAAAAGTGCCGGATTTTTAGATGATCCATTTAGTATGACTGGATCGCGTTCGACTTTGGATAAAACCCTCTTCCACAAACTCAAGTCGTTTCTAACTGCTTAATCACCCAGTTAAATCGCCTGTTGATCCTAAATTAAAAAAAGCATTTGAGAATCGTGGTATGTTTTTAATATCTGCAGATATTAAATGATGTTTTTAATATCTGCATGTTTTTCATAAAATAAGAATGCGCCTTAAACTAACCCGATTATCATCATCTTCTTCTAAGACAGTTGAAAAATTTGGAGGGAAGATTGTTTTCTTGAACTCAAGAGTTCATCAACTCTATTGGTAGCATGATCCGTCTAAAAAATAAATGTTTTTACAGTTTTGGAATAAAAATATGAATAAAAGATTGTGAATAAAAAAATAAAGCTGTTAACCTATACCTTAAGTACTTGGTCACACGTAGAGTTATTAGATGCCTTTTTTTTTGAAATTTATCAAAGCCGCACTCTTCCACTGTACGTTTGTTCTTGTATTCTTTTACAACTTTTTCTACAGCTTTTTATCTGCCTAGAAACCCTGAATTATGAACCCCTAGAAACCCTGAATTATGCTTTCGAAAACTGAACATGACGTTTTTACCAGGACTTTGAAGCCGAGGTCTAAAAACTGGCTCCGGCTCCAGGCTTCGGGTCCATTAGATTATTTGGCTCCTGCTCCGGCTCCAGCTCAGGAGCAGCTCCAGAGCGGCTCCGCAAAAAAAAAAAAAATCTTTTTTTTTTAATGTTTTATGACAGTAACTATTAACATTAACAAGTACTATTAACATTTTGTTAATCAAAATCTCGATTCATCCTTAAAAATCAAGTATTAAAAATATCAGGTTTGAGTGAAGAACGCAGATGACTCGATACAAACTTAAGAGCAAAAAATAACCTCTCTACACTTGCTTGTGAGATAGGTATACAAGTGACAACTCTGCACGCTTCTTCTATTCTTTTCTATTCACTTAAAAACTGAATTCACTTTTGAACGTTCCATTTCTTCCATTATCCTACATTTGTCCCAAAATTTTGTATTAAAAGCATTTTTATCAAAAAAAATTGAAAAAAGAAGCGTGACTAAAATTATTTTTGGTCACACTTCTCCT